ATCTGCAACTCCGAGACGTCGCTTTGCGTTCTCCTGATTGATGAATCACCTGAAAACCTTGAAATCAAGTTAGTAGCTTGTGAAAATAAATGTTTGGCCTTCTTACTTACGTTTTTGGATGGTTGGGAAGGCCCTGAGCGAGGAACGATGCCATATTTGGCTTCATAGACTCTATATAAAGCAAGAAACTGATCCTTCACATTAGTCTTATAGTTTTCTACATCATCGTCAAGAAACATGCATTGAAAGTAATTGTCAACTAACATAAATGTGTTTTCATACTTTTGCCTAGGATCTAATATGGAAGCAAAAATATAAATCAAAGGAACCTCACTATAATATTTACGCCACTTTTTTTCCATTGCTGGAAGATACTGATCATAATCACTTTGATGGCGATGATCAGCGAAAAGTTGGGCGAGTAAGCATGCATTAGAAAGAAAGTTTTGAGCACAAGGATTGTAAACAGTAGAAAAACAATACGTCATGTTATATAATAACTGTAAAAATTGCATATATCTTTCACAGTTATTCCAATCATCATCATACAAAGCATTTTGTGGATATTTTTGGTTGTAAAATAATGTTAACGGGCCCTTGTACTCAATTGCCTTTGTTAACATGTCATAGGTGGAATTCCACCTAGTTGGGAAATCGGTTCTAATTTTTATTACCCTTATCTTTTGTTGTTTTAGAAAACTCTTCCATTCTTGGTATCTCATGTTAGAGCTATTAATAGACATAATAGCATCTCTGATTTTGCTGTAGTATGGGCCAATTGCCCGAACTCCATCCTGTACACATAAGTTAAGTACATGGCAAACACATCTAGTATGAAGAGCTTCACCGTCTAATAGTACATCGGTTAAGTTTTGTTTGATAAGATTAGCTGTGTATGTCATAGAGGTTGCATTATCAAAAGTCATAGACATCATTTTATCTCGAAGGTTGTATTCGTCTATTGCTTGCATTAAATGGTGAGCAATGTTAATGCCGGTGTGTGGGTATTCCAGCATTTTGAAATGTATTATTCTTTTTTGTAACATCCATTGATCATCTACCCAATGGCAAGTCACACATAAATAGTGATATTTATAACCACTATCCCAAGAATCGGCTGTTAAAGATACTCTACAGTTAAGGTTACTCAATTCGGCTTGAAACCGGACTTTGTACTCTAGGAAATTTTTCATTGCGGCGGAACGAACGGTTTTCCTAGAGATTCTTTTATGTTTGGGTTGTAGTACTTTGTTAATGTAGGTGTTGAATGCGTCACTTTCCGAGAAAAGAAAAGGTTGTTCGGCGTGTACTATCATTTTTCCTAGTTCATCCCTATCCCTCTCATAGTTGTATGTAAAGTCGTATGGATGGAATTGGGAAATTTGGGGCTGGGTTGGATCACTAGCTGGTTTTGCACAAGCTTTCATGTGTCTAGATAAGTGTCCCGTCCCGTTTTTGGTAACTGCCGTGAATACACTATTACATGTTTTACATTTTGCCCATTGTTCACCATCTTTACTTAGGACAAAATAACGCCATACCTCACTCCTTCGGTTTTTCAAAAGTAGCATCTCAGTTTCGGTTAACCATTCATGATGTGTGTGATGGTTAGTAGTGGGACTAGTGGGAGTGGCAGTAGAAGGGGTAGAACCGGAGGGAATTCGGGTACTTTCTTGGCTACCTTGGCTAGAACAATAGTTTTGTTGATCACCGATATAATTAGGTGGAAATTGGTTTAGTGGTGGTGCTGGAAATCCCGACGTATTATATGGCTCATAGCCCGGGGGGAAGTAAATGGGGTCATTGGTTTGACTCGTAATTTGGGGGCTCGTTGTATTTGGTGGTTCCCTAGAACTACTACTACGGATAAGTCGGCCTTTCCCCCTAGACCTAGATGATGGGTTGTTCGATGCCATAATTAACAATTAATTTTTTAATAAAAAGTGGTTAACTATAATAATAATAATTAATAACAACAATTTTAACAATAAAAATATCAATAATAATAATTAATAACAACAACTATAACAATAACAATAACAACAAAAATAAATAATAACAACAATTGTAACAATAATAATAATTAATAACAACAATTATAACAACAACAATAACAATTAACAACAATAATAATTAAACAAGATTATTCTAATAATAACAATAAAACAATAATAAATTTAAGATTAGTTTAGATCTTTCAACCGTGCTTCAACGCTCCACTAATTACGATTACGAACTTTTTAATTTTTTCCGATATTAGGAAAATAATTAGAGAATTTAAGAAAATAAGGATTATTAGAGATTTAGATAATATAAGAGATAAGAAGAAGAGATTGTGATTTTGTGATTTGGGAATGAAATGGAGGTGAGTATTTAAAGAATTTTTGGGGAGCAAATTGGCAAAAAACTAGCCGTTTTTTAGCCGTTTTTTTGGCTTATTAAGGAGCTAGAATAAACGGTAACATTACCGTTGGCCCGCGGGCCGTTCCGGGCCGTGCCTGCGGGCCGGCACGACGGGCCAGCACGGCGGGCCATGGCCGTGCTCGTGCCGGGCCGTGCCTGGGAATTCTCAACCCTGTCCGTGGCACGGCCCGTGGCACGGGAGTTGAACTTCGTGCCGTGCTGTGCTTGAATTCGGGCCGTGCTGGGCTGCGCCGAACGGCGGGCCGTGCCGGGCGGCACGCGGGCCAACCCGGCCCGTGCCCAGGTTTACCTCTACTGTTATTTCCATCCCATTTTTTGAATGAATGATTGTACGAGTAATATTGACTCCATTTCTTATTATTTGGACCGGTTATACGTTTTCAATTCATGTTTTATATTAAATCATTACAAATAATTTAAAATATATATAAGGATTTTTGGACTTTTAACACAAAAAAATAATTTACCATTAAAACTTCCCAAACTTTTATTTTAGCATAAAAAATTCTAAAAATTATTTTTTACTGTCTGCCATCAAGAAGACTGTTAAATTTAACGATTTAAAAAAATCTTCGATTTTCGTGCAAAAAATATGCTCTTTAAAGATTTTGGGATCCTTTTGGTTTATTGGGTCCGATTCGAAGTCAGAATTGTTAAAAAATGATCGCAATTGCCTCGTTTTGCGTGTTTTACGCAACGAGGTATTTTTAGATTTTTTTTATGGTAAAATAAAAGATTGAGAAGTTTTAGTGGTAAAAAATAATTTTGGGTTTTTTTTATGGTAAAAGTTAAAAAAATCCTAAAAATAATAATGCAAAACTTTATTTTTCTCAAAATTAAAAAAAATGTCCTTCGTTTAGCAATATCACAATACTAATAGAGACAAAAAAGTGAATTCTATAATTTAATAATATAAAGTATATTTAGTTGGAATATTTAATTGTTAGTAAGAGAAAGAAATTAAAAAATAAAAAAGTGTAAGAGGTTAGAAAAGAAAATTAATAAAAATCCTTACCAAATAGAGTAATATTGCAATTATTATGAAACTGATGGAAAAAAAATAATGCGATTATTACGAAATAAATGATGTTCTACAAAAAAAAAAAAATGTTCTACAAACACAAATGATGTTGATCATCTTAACTAATGCTCCTGATACTAAACTAATTGAAATACTTGTCCTTGAGAGTACTAGTGATTAATCTCAAAAGCCAAGGGTACTAAAACGAGTGGAACTAACACATAACACACACAAAAAAAAATAAAAAAAATCGAAGTATTACCTCCGCCCACGAATATCTGCAACAAAGTACAAATGGGTGGACTCCTAGGTAAAACTTTTAGGGAATATTAAGTGTAGTTGGGTGGGTTTAATTAATGAGAGAGAAAAGTAAAAATACAAAATTACCCATATAATGATATATATAAACTAAACATTTAAGTGTTGAAAAATAAGGGTATATTTGGTATTTGTAGTGTGAACACAAATATTTGTAGTGAGTTTTAGGTAGTGGGTAATAGGTGGTGGAGGGGACCACTAACCAAAAAGTGAATAGTAGTGGGTAATTAATATTTAAATATTACCAAAAAAGGAAAGAAAAAAATTTGTTGCAGATACTCCAAGCATCCAAATTTGGCAAATGTTGCAGATATTCGTGGGCGGAGGTAGTATGAGTTTTATTATTATTATTATTATTATTATTATATTATTATTATTATTATTATTATTATTATTATTATTATTATTATTATTATTATTATTATTTTTGTGACACAAGTACGAGTTTAATTGGATTATTCATGTTACAGAGAGTCATCGTATTAATATACGATTATATTTTTTAGTGTTTAGAGAGCCAGAAGGATGAGTGATGAGAATTAATATGTAATTATGTAAACAAAAAAAAACACATTCTAGAAATTCTTAAGATAAATAAGTTGTCAAAAATCCAAAAAAGTAGTACTCCGTAATAATTTATCATGGGTGTCACTTGTCAGCTGTCAAAAATGAGATTGTGCTAAAAAATCCCAACTATATTTACATAATAAGCTGGAAAATGACATGATACACGCATTATGTATATAATAAAGTACTATAAAATAAAGTTTAATTGAGTATAAATATGTAAAATTATATCGTTACCTTCATTTGGAGGGATAAGTTGAGCGTTGATTGCAAGATTAACGAAGAAATTGAAGAAAAGAAAGAAAATTAGAGAAGTAGAAAATGAAGGCGCCATAATAATAGTTGAAGTTAGTTTTACAAGAAAGCCATTGAAATGAAGATTTATGGAGTGGAGAAAGAATAGAGAGCAGTTATATATTGGGGGAAGGTTTGGACTTTGGAGGAATGTAATGGAGGATGGGGGCATGGGGTCTTACCGTTTACCAGTAAATTATAAATCAACGCAAATTAAAATTATTACGTGTGGCTAGTCAATAGCCATGGGTAAATGGGTGTGATTGTGACGCTGTCATAGAGGTGATTTAACACTGGGGTCGGACTGGTGTTCAAGTAATAGCTTAGTTGGATAATTTTTATAGATTTAAAATTTCATAATTGTACAATAACTGAATAATAATGAATTGCTACTTCTTGTAGCTGTTTTTCTTTTTTTTTTTTATTTCTTAGTAAATAATAGCACAGATAGTTTCCTTCTTGTTCTTTGTAATAAAAACTCTAGTAACGACATTAGCTACTTAACCTTGTACACTAGCAAATTAGGGTTTATACCAATAATTGGTCATGTTACTCTGGCTTTACATCATCAGGCAGCAACTTTGATGCTGAGGATGATTTTTCACTAATCTCCTTGCTTTGCATAGAAATGGAAGTATCCGTCCATGGCCCATCTATGGACATGCTTTGCACTTGGCTTGATATTGAGCTCCCTGAAACATGAGTTTGACTGTCTTGTGACAGTCTCTCGAAAGCTTTAAACCTTAATTCATCATTCGTCCCTGTACGTTTGACAATTGGTGCTTGGATGGGGATTTGGCCTTCAATCATACTTGCAACTGAAGACATTGAAGGTCTAAGACTAGGAGATGGATTGGTACACAGAAGAGCTATATTCAGCAATTTCGATGCTTCATCTTTGGAGTAACTCGAGCCTAGAGTTGGATCCACAAGCTCCAAGAGGTTTCCTTGTTCTTGTAAAACATAGGCCTTCAAAATCCCAGATGGATCACGAGTTTAAAGAATAGTTTATAGATGAAATACACTCAAATATTTAACAAATAATTAGACATGATAAGCAGATGATACGTAGAAGCTGTTTATTACCCAATCAAGAAGATAAACAAACTCTTCCTTCGGCCTATAACTTGTGTTGCTAGTTCCACTCACAATTTCAAGTGTGACAACCCCGAAACTGTACACATCTGCCTTATCTGTGAGATAGCCTCTCATTGCGTATTCTGGGGCCATATAACCTCTGAAGAAAGTATGAAAGATAAGAATTAGTTCCCAATAACAGTTATTACGAAGTAATAAAATTTTAAAAAGCATGATAAAAAACTTTATAACCTTCTTATAGAACATTATGCTTCAAAATCAACAATACACAGAGTTGCATAATTAACTGACTCACTGACAGTTAATGTTATTATACAGAGTAGTAAAAAAAGATATACAATCATTTTATTTGATTTCTGTCTGCAATTCCACTGTTTCTTAATTCTCTATAGGCTATACCACTAAGTTAAATTTAGGTATTTGATACGGTTACAGTAAGGTATGTTTGGTTTAAAGGGAAACAATTTAAACAAACATTTCATCGAAACAAAATTGTAGCAGACGCTAAATATCAAAACCCCTTAACTCTTGTATGGTTTCATACTAGAAAAATTGAAGGAAGAATGGATATGGGAAGCAAGGATGCTACTAAAAAATGAGATGAATACTTCTTCCTGTAAAATCTCTTTCCACCTTTTAAAAACAATTTTCAACCTAAGAAAGGTTTTTTTTTTTTTTTTTTTTCCTTCACAAACCAAACAAAGGAAAATGGGAATGCTAAATTTCCTATTTTTTTTTTCAAGCAAAGGACTTTACCCAACCAAACACAGCCTACTCTTAGTGGTGTGGTGTTACTCTTTTTGTGCATTTGAAAAAGGCAGTACACATCAAAATGGGATATCATTTCTCTTCCGTTTTTGTGAACTTGTTCGTGAAAGTAACTTCTTCATGGTTCTAGATATATGGCAAATAATAATATTAGGTCCAGATCCTATATATGAAACCTAATGTTGCTTTTGTTAAGAAGTATTTGACTCACATTGTTCCAGCAATTCTTGTGCTAATATGCGTATTTTCATCTTCATCAAGTTTAGCCAGACCAAAGTCTGAAATTTTAGCGTTCAAGGCCTTATCAAGCAACACGTTTGTTGCCTTAATGTCCCGGTGAACAATCTTGAGTCTTGACTCCACATGAAGGTATGCTAATCCTCTTGTGATTCCCAAGCATATCCTCATTCTTGTTTGCCAGTCCAAGTGCAACTTCTGATTCTTTTTACCTAGACAGTTGGAAATAAAATTTAAAAAGGGCATAGATTGGTTAGAAATCAAGCTGTCTAGTAAAAGAAGCAACTTAATACAAGATGCTAAAAAAGGCACTTGCCAAATAGTGCACGGGCAAGGGAGTTGTTTTCCATGTATTCATATACAAGCAATAGCTCTTTTCCTTCTATACAACACCCATAAAGCTTCACTAAATTTGGGTGTTGTAAAGCAGAGATCATGCCTATCTCATTGACAAATTCGCGATTTCCTTGCTTTGATTTGGAAGAAAGCTGCTTAACGGCAATCACTTTACCATCTGGTAGTACACCCTTACAAAAACAACAATAATATTAGAAAATCTCAATAGTAAAAATTAAGAACATATGTCAAGACACGATTGTTACACGCGTCTGTTTCTGTAAATGCAAAACATAGGTAAGAAAACTATGAACCATAATTACCTTGAATACAGGCCCAAAACCTCCTTCACCAATTTTGTTTCTGTGATCAAAGTCATTGGTAGCTGCTTTAATCTGCCTCAAAGTAAAATATCCCGTACCTAGCCTTCGGAGTTCTGTCATATGTACATTAGATAAGACATATCCAATTAGTGGCAGTACTTTCCAAAACTTGATCATTAAGCTGTAAAGTGGTAAAATATTTAAAAGAAACTACACCAGCAAATTTATATTTAGTGTACAGTCCCGAACTTCAATACTGCTATCACAAGTAAAATGGCCAATTTTGAGCAGAAAAGAAAACATGATTACCTTCATTTTCCCGGCTTTTTCCACCAAGGCAACCCTTCATCCACAGAATTACCAGGATAGACAAAAAAATGGCACATGAAGCAAGCACAATTCCAACAATGGCTCCAACAGACAATCCTTTGCTGACTTTGAAATCTGCAAATAAAGTAATACGTTCAATTTACTGACAATGTATGCCACACAAATTAAGTACATAAAAACAGTGCTTAATAATAACACGTTGACTCACTGGGTGTCACTGTGATCCCAGATATAAGAGGTCCATACACGCCACGGTCAGGAGACCCCGTAGTTCCTCTACCAGACCAGTATAAGTAGATCTCAAGGGTGGTCCCACTGACATAGACATTAAAGTCCTTGGTTATCTCCTTTCCAGCCCCTCCAGCTTCAGCCTCGATATTGAAGTCCTTCAGTTTTATATTCCCCTATCAAACCAATAAGACATTCATATACAAAATACAATGTACATATATATAATGACTGGGGGAAAAGGAAAGGAAAATTTGTTTAATTACCTGTATTGCTACATCAAAGAAGCGCCTGCCAATGTTATCAAAAGTCCGGTCATCAGCAAACATTATCTCGGCAAAGTGAAGCTTCACATTGTAACTTCCTGGTATCAAGCAAAGGCCATAATATTTAAGTGACAAAGGTGCCAGACGAGCTGTTTGATAAATACCCGTCACATTAGGGTTGGATGTTTCCATTGCCAAGAAGTTGGCTTTGTCATCGTAGAGAAAAGATCCTGTGCTACTATAAGCCCACTTTTCTCCATTTGCAAAGAAAGTGGAAGGGCCTCCAGGAGTACTGTCCTCGTCGTATTCATTCCCTCGGAAACTCATCTTGTCACCACCACAATTGATAGACATAGAATAATCTGTAGAAACATGGGGGCAAGACAAAAGAGTGCTAGAATAAAGAATTTTTCTTTCTTGTTTTGTGATGATACAAGTAGGAAATAATAAGGTAAACTAATAGCAATATCTTAAGTATTTATGTCAAAAAGATCGAGTTTAAAGTTACAGTCTACAAAAATCTAGTTAATTCTTACATTGGGGCTTATTGGAGCAAGGAAGGTCCCTCCTCAAACACCAACTTACTCTGCATAATCACAATTTACTTTTGTAACGACTCAAATTTATGTGAGCATTGATGACTCTTTTTTTGTTCAATACATGAAGAATCAGTAGTAAAAACAGCTTACTTGTTGCTCTTTGCAGACGAATAGCTGGCGACAAGATTCCTGTTTCTTAAATTATTAATTAATAACGGGATCATATAATTAGGCAGAAGAGAAAAAGCTGCAAAGTATTGCAGATGATCTTACACATTTGACTGCTGACAACTAGCTGGAGATGATCCAGTAAAATTGTTATAAGACACATCACTGCAACAATAAGATTGGAATTAAGATTTATGTTTTTCAGAAAAAGCGCTGCTATAAACAATAAGCTAAAAAGAGAGAAAAAAATAGCTTACAAGTTTTGCCTGCTATTCAATATCCAACCTGGCAACGATCCAGAAAATGAGTTGTTCGTAAGGAACCTGCGTCGAAAATATGATTGGAAGCTCAGCCTACTGATAGTAATTAAAATAGATGATCCAAAACACATGTATTTTGACTTACAAATATCCAAGTTTTTGTAAGTTCTGCATTGATTCGGGAATTTGACCACTCAACTGATTGTAACTCAGGTCTCTACAATAAGATATGATTACATTAACGACTATGTTCCAATCAGTATTTTTTTAATATATATAGGCCACACATTTTACAATTTACAAAGCAGTGTTCTTTGTACAAGTTGCAAGCTTTAAATTATGGCAGATAGATGCCAGAACTCACAGAAGCTTCAAATTTGCTAAGTTTCCAATGAAATCAGGGATTGGACCAGTAATTGAGCAGTTTCGTAGTACCCTGAACAAAATTTAAGTAAAGAATCAGTATAATTAAATTTTTAAAAAAAAAAAAAAAAAACCGCCAAATTTCTGCAGAATAAATTTAATAAATAAAATAACTCACAGATACTGTAAATTTTCCATATTTGTCAGGTTTGGGAAAGTGATACTTCTCACATTGAGATCAGAAATTCTCCTGAAAATTAAAATGAATCAATCAGAGATTTTTCAAAAACTAATACTCCTTGGTATGCTGTTTCCAACTTCACTAACTAGTGGCCTAACTTATATACTAGTATATATTTTCATTCAATTTACAATAGACTGAATAGAGAGTTTCTTCAACCAAAGTTAGCCATGTTAGCCTATCTTTTACAATCTTAAACTTTTGAGCCATGCAGAAAGCATACACAACTGAAGTATTAGGCCACTCACAAAATTGTCAAATTTGTCAAACTGGAAAAGGTAGACGGTATAGACCCCTCCAAAGATGTGCCCTGGATATCACTGTAAGGTTTATAAAACACTACATCAAATAAAATATACAAGCTGAATCTTGGTTGTGGCCATGAAATAATATTTCTACCAGACATAATGCGGTTAAATCAAAACTAGTACACTCACAATGTGTTAAGGTTGGTTAAAGTACCAAGAAAATCAGGTATCTTCCCTGTAATCAAATTTCCACTAAGTCTTCTGCAAGTAGAACATAGTAATTGTTTAGCTAACATAAGTGTCGATTGATTAAACTTCCAAATATGCAGCGGGAACATACAATTCAGTGAGGTTCTTCAAATTGACAAATGTTTCGGGAATTGTTCCATTAAAAAAGTTTGCAGCAAGCACCCTACAGAAAAGAAAAAGTGTGTGTTAAATGCACTAAGTACACAGTGGTATGAATATCAAACAATAAAAATCTAATGAGTATCACGAATACAACATGCTAAACAGACTATGAGGAGGAGAGTTTGATTCACTTATAAACCCAAAGAAGGTTTCAAACTAAAACCAATTGGAGGTAGTAAGAGTAACTCCTCTAGCTTATAAGGTGGTATTTTCTCTCTTCTTTCTCCAATATGGGAGATCACACATGTGGAGAACAAAGGAGCTTCAACCCAGCAGCTTATATCATGAATTGAAGACAAGTAAAATAATACTAGGGATCAGGCACCTTGAACTAGAAACTGATGCACAAGCCCTTGTCAACATGCTGCAAAACCCACACCACTACATGGACCATGAACTCACTAACATCATCAAAGATGTAGGGGAACTGATGCAAAGGTCATGGAATGTTACTATTCTTCATGTTAAAAGAAGTGCAAACAAGCTTGCTCATGATTTAGCTGATATTGGTAGGCTGCAGCAAACCGAGATGCTGTTCCACTTTTATTTTCCTCCTGGCCTGACTCACTTCTACACTAAAGAGCTGGCCAATGCTATTGCCATGACTCAACTGATTTCTTCAAGGTCCAGGCGTCCCCCGAGCTGCCAAGCTCCCCTTTAGCTAATACTTTAAATTTCAATTTCAACGATTTTCATTCACTTTCTGTCTTTTATGGTTTTAGGATTCTTGTTCTTTTCAGCTTAGTTAGGCTGCATGATTGCTATTTTCCCCTTCATGAGCATCATGGCAACCTGCCAACCTCTTTTGGGCACAAACTCTGAATTTCCTAGATGTTTTTAATCATCTAGTGTAATATATGTTCTCTTTCGTTTTAATAATAAAATAAAAAAAGTATACTAGTTAATATTAATGTAACATTTGCACATACCCAAGGTCAAATAGAGCAATGGACTATGTGCTGAAATGATTTGGGTTCATTTCTAGGGGAAAAAAAACATTGCAATGACTAATATGCTTTGAAGAAAATGAACTCACATTCTTTTCAAGTTTTTCAAATTTCCAAGGCTATTAAGCAAAGGACCTTCTAGTTGGTTATCTTCCAGGATTCTGAGTAAAACCATGTTAAAAACAGATTAAGGTTCAAATCAGGACTATTAATAGCCATCATCAAAAGTATAGGAACAGTGAGTTAAAAATATTTACAACTCCTCCAGGGTTGAAATTTGGCCAATTTCTTTCGGGATGGGACCAGTGTTCCGGTTCCCCAGAAGTGATCTGCAAAGCAAAAAGAATTCAGATACAACCACGAACAGTAAATATCTATGGTGGTTGTCTTCAAACAATAGTGACTGAACACAAACAGTTTCAAATAAAAAAAATATATATCATCAGGCAAATTCAATATAGTTAGAATGTGTCATACTTACAAGGTAACAAGTGGAATCTTCGATAGAGTTTTAGGGATCGCTCCATTAACATAGTTTCTAGAAAGATCACTGCATTACATGCTTAACTCATCAGGATCTTCAATGCTTAAATATTGATAATTCGGGCAGCAAATATAATCAAGAGAGTGATAAAAGAACAGACAATTTAGCTGTTTTTCACTGCAAAAGAGCATCCTAACTTACATTTCTTGCAGCTGAGTAAGGTTCCCGACTTCTTCAGGCAAGTATCCAGTAAGATTCAGACCCTTCAATTGGCTGCAAAAAGAAGATAAATAGATCCCATTAAAACACATAATTAAAACCCTCGAAGCACATGTATCCACCATAAATCATAGTCAGTAAATACAGCCTATGCAATTGCAGACAACATAAAAATGGATAGTGGGACAGATTATATTTTGTCCATGTTTGGTTAGGAGCAATGTGGTGTCAAATTAGCATTTTGACCAATAAAGATGCTACTTCTCATGTTTTGTAAAGAGCTGTTTGGATTAACTATATTGGATGACAACACTTATCTTGAGGACGCTTTGAGCGGAGGTTTGATGCTCTATATCAAGCTAACTATATAATGAAATAAGGGTCCGACAATGGTTAAATTGTATGCAGAAATACCAAAAAGAACCATTCAATAGCACACATTTCACTACCTTCATGCTCCATGTAACAATTTCAAGTGAAATTCACAGTCAGATATGTGTATTCTTAGACTTTAATTAAATTATATTGTAAAAAAACTTATATTTTCCACCTTAAAGAACTAATAATTTGACATTGGCAGTATAATCATAGAGGTAGTCAAACATGGTGACTTGTAAGACCATAATTCTAAAAGGTAGTTTTTGAAATCATGTACTTTGTATATACATTCCAATGGCAAATTTGGAGATCTAATACGAAGTAGAAGCTAAAAAGGAGCCATTCAATACCCCACATCATTCCTCTCACATGTTTCCAAAGTTTCGCCCAAAATTATCAATGACTGAAATAAAATATGATCTACCAACCAAATCAACCCAAATTATGAACCAGGGAGTGCTCCTTACACCATATCATCATCTCCTAAAATAATGTACAATGAAGACAAGTCTATTATAATTACGAAAAGTAACATATAAAATGCATGTATGATAATTGAAGGAAGAGACTATAGATAAACTAATCTGAAAATGGAGACAAATAAGATTTATGAAGAACATACATATGTGTGACATGGCAAACAGTGCCACTGTTAAATGTACAATCACAAGTAACGTTGGTTAGAATGTTGACGCCAAAAGTATTATTGAAGCTTCGACCCCCATCATTGCAGGATTTGTCAGTGACCTTCCAATATGTCTGTACTGCAGGAATTGACTGGATCTCTAATTTGTCTGATATTATTTGCAGGGCTTTAACTGCCAACCCACAAGTGAAACAATCAAACAACAACAAAACCAAAGCCCTAATCCAAAGTGATACAAACAACTTCAGAGCTTTCATGAAAAAATAAAACTTCAATTAATAGTTTTGCTAATAGAAAGTTTACAAAACTAAGAAACATATGTGAAAATTTGACTTCATAAAAGAAAAAAACTAGTTAAATTGTCATAGTCTGTAAAAATTGATAGCCTTTTCCTTTTACAATTTTTTCCCTTCATCCGCAACATTAAGGTAAATCTAGTTGAAGGAAAATTTTAGCATGAACTTCACATCACATTATTGATTTATTTGTTTTGTCGAAGCCCAGCTTCTCAATTAGAAAGGGTAACTTATATGAAGTATAAGATATATGTCACTCTTGGCACTAATGAGCAAGGAGACAATAGATTTATCAAATTTTAGTATCATGTATGTACAAACCCGTACTTTTTTATGGTATAGTCATTTATATTCCAATTTCCACCACAGCCCCAGTCCATCATCCACCTTTCTCCGAAATCAACTCAATGACGGCTCGTCCCCTAAACCTCCACACTAGCCTCACCAAAGCAGTCCATCATCCACCTTTCTCCGAAATCAACTCAATGACAACTCGTCCCCTATACCTCATGCTATCCCTACCAAAGCAAACGCCAAAATTACCAGTAAACCATTGCCTTGTCTTAATTATGTACCAATTTTACTAAAACCATTAATATTGCAGCAACCTTTTATTTAACTCCATATCAATTAGTGATTTTTTTCGTGGCACAACCAAACCTATAAATCTTTTTTTCCCAAACTTACTAGACATCATTATAGGATATATCTCTATTCTATAAAGGAATGCATGAAGAGTAAAAAGATAGTGTCAAATATATGAATTTTAAAATCAAAGCCCGAACCCAACTATTTTTTACATTCCAAAACTCATTATCACATTACATAAGCAAGATATATTACATTATAAATCTCCAATACTACATACCATATATACTTCCTCCATTCTTTTTCACTTGACCCGCTTTGACTTTTACACTATTCACCACCCCTCTTCTGACCGTCTTTTGTGAATAATATGTAAGAAAACATATTCATGTGTAATCTTTTTAAATTCATCTCAATAAGTACTATCATAATATCTTACTTTTATAATTTCTACTTATGGAAAAGTAAAGTCATTGATCGTTAAAATTTTACATTAGCAATCGTGATAAAAGAAACATAAGTAATAAAATATAGAGGAAGTAACAAATACAAAGTAACATTCCAAATCATTCGACTAAGTTTCCCTAAGAAAAATCTTATTGTTCAGGTTAGGAAATACCCCCCCCCCCTTTAAGATTGCTCTGTTGACCTATTTGGAAAATTTCTTGTATTCCTCTTTGGGTGTCCCTTTCAGATTTGGAAATTTTCCTCAATTGCAACCCCAATTGCTCTCTCCCTTTCCTCTCCTATCCTCTCCTATCAACCCCACTTACAACCCCATGTGTACAATTTTGCCTCGCTTCTTAATATTTATAAAGTGAACTTTGCTCTATTGAGCAATCAAAAAGGATAAAGAGAGTATGAAGTTGGGTGGAATTATTCAAAAATGGTTACAATTAAAAAAACAAATAATAATAAAAAAATAAATAAATAATTGTGGTAAAATATAAAAACCATTTCTACCCTTTGGTTAAGTTAGTCTTTTAACACAATATGATTGGTATCAGGGCCAACATAAAAAGAATGCCACGTCCCATTTATACTTCTTTTAAAGTGGAATCTTTAGTGCTAGGTATGAGGAGACCCATGTTTTAACCACATTTCATAAAATGGGGTTTGATATGGTACAAAAACCAATTTTAGAATTTAACCATCAGCTTAATCTTTTAATTGAATTGATATTTTAACATCTTGCAATATTAAAATTAGGTGATACAAATGTTCCAAAATAATAGAAAAGTTAAATTTTAAAAACGACTATGTATGAAGAATTGAAGAGGATCAACATAAATAGAATAATACTTAGCATGTAAAATATATCGATTTTGTTTCATTTTTCTAAATATTAGATATTTTACCTTTTACAGTTTTACGCCTTTTAATATACTCCCTCCAATGTAGCAGAAGTAGGGAGTTCACATTGAGAATTTCCCAAAATAAATAATGAAAAAAAAAATTGAAACTAATCCAATGATATATTACACAATAACAATTTTTTTCATTTCGTAATAGTAAAAAAATTAAGTCAAAAAAAGTATGTGGATAGTGCGTAAATCAAAGTGATGCAAATCTTAAAAAACAAGATAATTATGACATTGCCACTGATTACATGTGAAATAAATGGTTCTATAAGTATGTGATAGAAGAGCTTTTTACTATTTTTTTAATAAATCACCATCTATTTCTAATGCAGTTCCTTCTCAAACATTTGAAGGTGTCTTTCTATTTACCATTCAACATGTTTATAAAAATTAGGAGGAATAGATAAATTTTTTAAATGAAATTTTCTCTTGCAATTTTTAACACATTACATAACAATTAACATCAAATACTAAATTCTTCAAGGCCCCCTCGCTGTTGACATATTTAATCTTTTTTTTTTTTTTTAAGAAGAAAGACATATTTAACCTTTTGTGATAGGATACAAATTTGTTTAGCGGGTTAGAATTTTTTAATTTTATTTCTATGGATATATATTTATTTACGCACGAATAGATTTTACAATAGAAAGTTGAAAGGATAAAATATATTAAGGCTTAGGATGCCAAATTGTTGTTATTTGACTAAGCAAGACTTATCATTTCATTATTATGCATTCATACAACACCCCACAATTTTCAGTATGTTCAAAGTATGTGGTAAACGAGAAGTATCAACTTTAAATGCACACGGTTTGCGACAGTGTAGGTGTAATAGTAAGCTGTATTGCTGTCACTAAAAAGCTCAAATTTGCATTTACTTGTCCAAAGTCCCTTACCTTTAATTAAAGCTAACATCTAACAATAAGGCAGTTTATTCTCCAATTAATATATAAAATAATTTTATACAAAGTAACTACTATTTTTACTACGAGTACGTCTATAGAGAGCCATAAAGATTAACTACATGTACACAGAATTTGATCTAAACAGTATTACTCAATCAATTCCCGTCTATAAACACATGTTCAAATTTGTTTTACTTCGTATCAAAGGAAGCTTATCAACGTAACATTCTTTGTAAAAAGTAAGTATTGTTTGAAGTCACTATCTACATTAAATGTTGTACCAAAATTGTTATCATTGTTATCAAGATTGGTACTAAATTTGATTTTGATAAGACTAGTATGACATGTACGAATTACAATTAAAGTACATTTGAATTGAATTTTTAGCCGTCTATAACGTAGATTTAATTTATTAGCTTTTCTATTTTGTGTAAAAGGTCGACAAATGAGTCAAAAGAATCTTCCTCTACTTTTATTTCATTCCCCTTCTTTGAAAGAAGGATTATGATACCACAACATTTTTTTTTGTCCATATTGAAAGATTTATAAAAACAAATGATATAGACGCAATTTAATCGCATATCTTAAGTAAAACTCTTATTACTAAATTAATTAAAATATATGTGCTCGAAGTATCAGTCACCAATCCCGAGAGCCAAATGTACTAAAGCAAGTGCAACAAATAACATTATAAGAATTAAGTACTCTACTACTTGTATAAGTTCAATTGAATCATTCATGTTAGAGTACTCGTATAATAAGATGTGATTATATAAATATCAAAAAACAGTTTAGAAATTCTTAAAAAAAAAAAAAATATTGTCAAAAAAATTCCAAAAAAGTAATAATTTTTCATGGGTGTCAATTGTCAGCAGCGAATGTGGTACAACAAATAAATTAAAAACGACATAAATGGGCCAGTCTACTAAATATTACTGTAATAAAAAACAAAATAACAAAATCATACAGTAATCAATTATTGTGTCAAAAAAAAAAAAAAAAAAAATCAATTTAATGATGCAAATAAATCGAAAAATGAATCAATAATTGACGAAACATTCACACATCATTTTCCAGAAAAAAAAAATAAAAAAAAAATAAAAAAAAACTATATTTACATAATAAACTGAAAATTTGCATGATTCATGTATAAAATAAAGTTGAAATGAGTATAAATATGTAAAGATTGTACTATTACCTTCATTTGGAGGGATAAGTTGAGCGTTGATTCCAAGATATACGAAGAAATTGAGGAAAAGGAAGAAAATTAGAGAAGTAGAAAATGAAGGCGGCATATTAATAATTGAAGTTAGTTTTACAAAGAAGCCATTGAAATGATGATTTCTGGGGTGGAGAAAGAGAACGAGAGAAAGTAGGAGAGAGAAAGAATAGAGAGCAGTTTCCTTTAGGGGGAGGTTTGGACTTTGGAGGAATGTAATGGAGGATGGGGTCTAATTGCGGTTTACAGGTAAATTTTAAAAGATTAATATAGTTTTTCAATCCCAACTTTTACCAATTTAGTTTCATTAATCCCAAATTTAAATTATTTCTTAATAATCTCAACTTTAAGGTGGCTTATCTTTCTTCAATCCCAAAAACCGGTAACCTGATGAAAGGGTTAAAAACAATTTTTAAAAAATTATTTGACACGTGTCACATGTTAGTTGCTTCAAAAAATAAAAATAAATAAATTAAATCAAATAAATTAAGAAAAAACAAAAAAAAACCTCCCTTCCCCTTTACCCCACCACCCACCCACCTAAATCCACCCAATCGCGATCCCCTACCCTTCCCCCAACCACCCACTGCCGCCACATACCTTCACCTCAGCCACCTTTTTCGCTGATTCCTTCACCCAAGCCAACCCTATCGCCCCCTCCACTCGCATCCATAGCCACCCCCACCCTCATCCCCGTAGCAACCCGACCTACCCCACCCCCACCCTCATCTCCAAAGCCACATGAAACCAACCGTGAAACCTATGCTAAACATCTCGAAACCCAAAAATCGGCCATGGGATGGGGTTTTTTGGCGGTTTTTCGATAAGGTGGGTGAGTTTTTTCTGGAATTCGAGGGGTTTGGGTGTTCGATTGGGTGGGGTTTTCAGGTTACGGAGAGGGAATAAGAAGGTGGGCTGGTGAGATATAGTCGGGAAAGGAAGTGAGATGGGGAGGAGAAGGTGGTCAGAAGTCATGGAGGAGAAAGGAAAGGGAAGAGGAAAGGGGATTTCAGGTAGGGGTGGCAATTCGGGTCAGCAGGTCGGGTTCGGGTCAGATTTCGGGTCGATTTCGGGTTATGCTTAGAAACTATTAAAAATAGTGTAAAACTTAATATTATTACGAAATATGAAATTTGGGTCAAATCGAGTCGAATTCGGGTTGTTCAGGTTCGGTTCAGGTCGGGTTCGGGTCTCTCTCAGTAACTTCGGGTCGGGTTCGGGTCGGGTTTTCGTGTCGGGTCAGGGTTTGCCAGCCCTAATTTCAGGTGGGTTTCGGGTAGGGGTTTCAAGAGGAAGGGAAGGGCGGCCGGAAACGGAGGGGAAGGAGGGTTGCTGGAAATGGAGGGGATGGGGGGACTGCCGGAAATGGAGGGGATGGTGGCTGCCATTAATGGAGGTGGAGGGGGGGGGGGCTGTTAAAGGTGAAGGGGCTTTTTTTTATGGAAGTAGGGAAGGAAGGAGACTGATTTAATGGAGGAATGAGAAAGGAAGGGGAAGGAAAAAAAGTAAAAGGAATTTTTTTTTTTTTTCTGTTTTTTTCTTTTTAAAAAAAAAAATTGGTTCAGTTAAAAAAAATAAATAAATAAAAATTGGACCACTCACGTGGCGACACGTGTCCAGCAACCTATAATAGAAGGTTGTTGACTTTTGTTGACCGGTTTGGGATTGAAGAAAGATAGGCCGCCTTAAGTTGGAATATTGAGGAATAATCCAAAGTTGGGATTAATGAAACTAAATTGGTGAAAGTTGAGATTAAAAAATTGTATTAATCCAATTTTAAATAAGACTAATATTTAAAGAGAAAAAGAATATACATGTTGATCTTCACGATAAACAAAACAGTGTTTATTTAGTAGTATATCTGTCAACAATCTTTATTAAATTATGAAATATTATGCTGACCAGCATATTTTGTTGATTTATTTACTGAACTGACGCTAGATAAATGATTTTTGTTTATCAAGAAGATCAATTGGGGTTTCCTCGAATTTAAATCATCCCAAGTTATAATTATTATGTGTGTACGGTTGTGACAATGTGACCATTGAAAGGAATGGTGTAATTCCAACAAGTGTATTATTCCGATAGAGAGTTCAGAATTATTAGAAAGCTAATTCTTCAGTGAGGTCAAGTGATCGAAATGCCTAGGTGGAGGCTGCTTCCGATCAGTAATATTAATGTGTAATTAATATTAAAGCTTAATCATGACTGAACCCTCGGATCACACCCAATCGAGTAACCGATCCGAGACGACGAATCAATCCGAATGATTAGATGAGTCATTAGAGTATTACGAACAAAGACGTCGGACATCGAGCTTAGAGCGGGCGTCGAGACCGAGCGTCGTAAGTCGAGTCGAATTTAGAATTCGACAAGACGTGGAATCAAGCCAGCGACAAGTACGAGCCAAGCCGTAGCATCGCATTGGTCTAGCCATGCGAGTGCTAGGCTAGGCGAGGTGTCAAACCGCATGCGTGCTAGCGTGCATGGCATTGCCTAGCACACGCACATCACACAGCACGAGCATCGCAAGATGCGTGCCATGTGTGTGTGTGTTGTGGCCTTGCATGCGTGGCTAAGCGTGTTGGCTAGCATAGTAACACCAGCCGCATCATCGCTAGCATCGCAGCATGCTGGGCATAGCCCGGCACATCACAACCTCTCGCATAACAACCACGCATCGCAGCATGCTTGCGTGCTAAGCATTGCAGCGTGCTGTGGCTGGGCATGCTTGTGTGATGAGCAGCGCTCTCGCATAGCAGCATCACGCAACCAGCAGCAGCGTGTTAGGCATGATGGGCTGTGCGTGTGTGCTAGCAAGCAGCACCAAGCACCACGCCACTCGCATAGCATCAGCACGCACCAAGCAGCAGCATGCGCTGGCTGGGTGGGTGGTGGCTGGAAGTGCGCATGTTCCGTGCTAGCTGGTTGGGCTGCTCAGCCTTGGTGCTAGGCGCTAGCTGGTAGCCTTGGCAGCCAAGGCAGGCTTCTAGCTAGCCAAGTGGCGTGGTGGTGCGGTTTTGTGTGGGGACCAATATTGAGGGTTTTGCTTGGGGAGCAAGGGGAGAATGGTCCCCCCCCCCCTTGTGGTCCTCACCTAACCCCTTGTTCACCTCTTGACACTTGTCATTTGTTGATCACTTGCATTTCAATTTGATTTTTGAATTAAATATAAATTGGATAAAATGCATTTTACCAAATCTCCCACATGGATGGGAGATTAAAGTTCAAGAGCTCCATTCCCTATAAATACCCATCATTTGAGATTGGGAAGGGACACTTGAGTTGAACTTAATGAGGCATCTCTCTTTAGGTGAGAAAACCTCTAAGTTCGTAATACTCTAGTCTTATCTTGGTCTTGCCCCGGCTAACCTCCGGGGTAGAGACCGTTCGGGTGGGGTCTCGAGGGTGGACTCCTTCGGAGGCTTTCGCGCTTGCGGAGCTAAGGCTTGAAGTCCGAGTTCTATAGGAGCGAAGCACGCGTCGAGGATAAGCCTTTCTCTCTTTTATGTTGTTAATTATGTGATTAAATATTTAGTTGCTTTAATTAGTGAGCAGGTCTTGGGTGGGTTTCTTTTCCGCGTAGCGTTGGACGCTACGAAACCCAACAATGGTATCGGAGCCGCGCTCATTTTAATTATTATAACTAATAATTAATTGAGGTGATTTAAAATGGATTTAAATTCTGGTTATGCTTTCTAATTAGATTAGAAGCTTGTTTTAATTAGTTTTAATCTCGTATTTTTACTAATTTTGGCCGACGAACCCAGATTTCGACTCAAAAATAGTGATTTTTGGGTGGAATCGATGTTCTAAATCGTTTTTGTCTGTTTCAGGATTGTCCAGAAGCCAAAATCCACCCAGAAAGATGTTTTTTGAGGGGTTTTTCGTTTTGAAGAAAATTTTTAAATCTTTAAACCTAGATTAATTATGGCATGTTAAATGTAGATTAAATGTATGGTTGCATCACTAATCTACAACAATTATAAACCTTATTAAGCATGTTTATGAAGTCATAATTGGTGCTTAATTTGGTGAGTTCATTTTTCACATTTTTGCAAATAAATTGCTTCAAGTGTGAATGTTTTTGGTGAACTTGTAATTTTGAAGTTCCTTATATCTTAAAGATCTAATATTGAATTGTTTATTTGGTTGGAACTTTGATTGCTAAATTCCATGTTGAACTAATTTTTGGATTTTATCATTTTTGAGTTGATTAAAGTCCTAAAAGTTCAAAACTTGTTATTGAAATTTAATTAATCTTCATATTGGAAGATGTAATTTTTCAATTATACACAAGTTGTTGTTGGAAATTTTTCATTGGATGAAAGGGTTTATTCTTCCAACCTCCTTAATTTTGTCAAATCTCATTTTTAGTTTATACTTGGTTAAATTAATTATGAGTGTAGACCTTCAATTTTGTAGCATCAAGATAGACCTAAATTGATTTAAAGAATGGTTCTTGAATAATTTAGGCTTGTGTACCATTAAAATTGAATATAATTAAGTTGAACTTGTTTTATTTTCATTTTTGACCTAAATTTATTCTAAAATAAATTTAGAATTAATTTTATGTTACACGTATAACGGGATTAAAATCCCAAGAAAAGACACGCAAATCGAGGCAAAAACACCCAAGCGCCAACAAGGCTAGCCGGGCTGCTCACGCAGCCCACATGTGGTTTCCTTAGGTGTGCATAAGGGTGCTCCACCTCGAGATTCAGCTGCTGCTGTGTGGCTGGTCTTGTGTGCGCTATTGTGTGATTGGTGCGTGGTGGATGGATGTTGGCCATGCTTGTGCGTGATGCTGGGCAGCGAGGCAGCAAGCCCCAGCAAGCCAGTCATTCGCCTACCAGCGCTAGCAAGCAGGTAGCATGCGTAGCAAGCTGCTGGTGCCAGCAAGCGTGGCATGCGTTGCTAGGCAAGCATGCCAGCACCTAGCACATGTAGCCGCAACTCCCAAGCGCTGCTAGGCAGCCATAGTGCGCATCCCACGAATTTTGGGTGGGTCGATTTTTTGCTTGAATTGGGCTATCGGGTTTTGCAAAATTTTTTCGTTTTAATTTTATTTAATTTATTTAACGAGGCTAGGCCTCGGTTTTTTCGGCTGTTGCAAAATTTTAATTTTTGACAAAATTTGGGTTAACCGACTTAATTTATTGGATTAATTAAGTTGGATATGGAATTTAGTGGGAGCTTCGTTAATTGCATGAACTGATTGTGTTATAATCACATAAAATATTTAACAACTTTGACTAGTTTAATTAGGCGCGTTAATTGAATTAACCACCTAAGTTAGTTACTAGTTTACGCGTGTTATGCATTGTTACTTGTTTTTCGTTGTAAAATGCATGGGCCATTCACATAATTGGGAATAATTCTACAATTAAAACAATCATGTATGCTATGATATGGAGTCGTCACTCAACTTACATGCTTAGAGCATGAGAAGTATAAAATACCAATCAATTTAAATCTAAGTGATGAATCGTTAGATTATGATCAAGAAAAATCCAAAGTACTTTGATAAGTAAAACAGGATAAGTTCTTGACGCATGGAAACAAATCTAATTTGAGAATTGATGTTGCAAGCACATCCGTAGCAAGGGTTAGATCCTTAATAAGGAAGCAGTTTATAAGCACGAGCTAGAATGCGTCGTGGCTTGAGAATGGTAACATGGACGCGCATCCATGTATAATGTGCGGAAATTTAAGGTAAATTTCCATAATCACATGTGATTAGGGTCTCCCAAATCATTGTGAGCCGTTTGGAATGAAATCCTAGCAAAGCACCATCAGAATGTTTACTAAAATATATGTTTAGAATATTGTTGCTTGGAAGGCAATAATAAGAAAGTGTTCTATATCGTTTAGTATCAAAAGAAAAAGAAAAAAGAAACGGGGTTTGACTTTTGTTGACTTTTATCTCTAGTTCTCCCATGGCGATTCTCTGCTAGGGTGGGTGTTCATCTAGCTCTATCATCACCACGCCGCGTAAGAAAAAGTAATCAACCTCACTTCCCCAAGCTAATCAACCTCCTATAGATAAAGACTTAGACAATCTGAAGAAATCAAAGGTTTCTTCAAATTCTGACTCGATTGGTGAAGATGATGAACTTGTAACTCCTCCTCCTCATCTTGTCAATCCAGCTACTAGTATGATATCCAGAGGAAATTTGAGGAAGCTTGAATAATTTCATGGAAACTCTCTTATTCAAAATCCAAGTAATTCCAATGAAACAGTAACTAGGGTTCCAGCGGTTACTGTTCCATTGATTTCTGAGCATCAACCCAGCTCTGTTAGGCCTGCGATTGATGTTGGTGAGACCTCTAAGGGTGCTGGTAAGGCTGAGAAGATTTCAGAGGTTATTATTGAAGATCGATCCTATAAGGGAAAACTAAATCCTAAGGGGATGACCTTGACCTTCATTGCTCCCCAGATCAAAGATGGGAAACCAGTTGCCCAGTTGACTGCTGCTGATCTATCTAAAGGAAGCGATGGGGTAATGCTTTGATCTTTTATGTTGTTGGCTATTCTCCTTCTATTACTACTGTGCGTAGATTTGTAGCTGAAAATTGGCAGAGTGTAGCGAAGCTTGATATTTTTTGGCATGATGAGGGGTACTTCATTATTAACTTGAAATCTGCTAGTGATAAGAACATAATATTGTGTACTGAACCCCACATGTTTTATGGTAAACCAACTATAATTAAAGCCTGGAATGACAAATATGATTTTCACTCAGAAGTTTTGAGGACTATTCCTCTTTGGGTTAAATTGCCAAACCTCCCACTAAACTGCTGGGGTGTTGATACTCTTAGCAGGATTGGAAGCCTTTTAGGTGTCCCAATTTGTGCAGATGAATGCAGCTCAAGGCAATTAAGGGTCTCCTTTGCTAGACTCCTTGTTGAAATTGATGTTACAAAGCCTTTACCATCTTCTATTTGGATTGAAGACCCAGGAGGTGAGCTAGTTGAGCTTTAAATTCAATTTGAATGGCATCCTCCATTCTGTAAGAGGTGTAATAAGGTTGGCCATGACTTCTCTGTGCCTAAACATCAACCTAAGCCTCAGCAGCAAGATATAGGTAATAATCAGGCTCAGAAGAAGGTATGGGTTCCAAAACAAAATGTTTCTGTCCCAGCACCCAAAGACAGTAGCTCTGTGATCACACCAGAGTCTCAAATTCAGAAGCCAGATGAATGGAAAACGATTGGTAAGAAAACTGTGAAGAAGACTAATAGACAGATTACTTTTCCTGTCTCTAAGTCTAATTCTTACCAACCTTTATCTTTGGAAGAGGAAGGACCTGTTGAAATTATAGACAAATATCCTATTGAGGGTGATGGTAATCCCTCTTTGGGAACATGATAGTCCTCTCATGGAATATAAGGGGTCTTAATGACCCTGGGAAGGTAGCTGTTATGAAGCAGTTACTTGTGGAGCATACAATTGATGTGTGCTGTATTTTGGAAACTAAAGTAAAAATTAAAAGTAGTAATACTATTCAGAGGAAGTTTGGGAGAGCTTGGTCTTGGCATTGTAACTATTCTAGCTCTCCTAAAGGTAGAATTTGGGTTGGCTGGAAGGCTGACTACCTTACTCTTGATGTCTTGCATTCTGCTGAACAGTTTGTTCACTGTGTGCTGTGTTCAAAAACTTTACAGACAAAAATTTTCATTACTTTTGTGTATGGCCTTCACACAGTTCATGATAGAAAGCATTTATGGGATGGTATTAAGGGCTTCCTAGTGTTACTGTTCCTTAGCTTTGTGCAGGAGACTTTAATGCAGTTTTGTCTGTTTTTGATAAGATGAATGGGGCTGCCATCTCTAATTATGAAACTAGAGATTTTCAACAATGTCTCGATGATCTGGCTCTAGTTGAAATAAAGAGCAAAGGTTCCTTCTATTCTTGGTGTAATAAGGCTCATTCTGGTCCCAGAACTTTTAGCAGGATTGACAGGGGGATTGTGAATCAAGCCTGGATGAATAGCTATGGTCATGTTGAAGCTCTCTATCTTCCTCCTTCTCTCTCTGATCACAATCCTCTTGTCTTTAATATTTTCCAGTCTCAACCAGGGAAAGGGAAGCCTTTTAGGTTTCTCAACCATTTGGCTGAGCATGAAAATTTTATGAGTGCTGTTGAGGGGGCTTGGCAAAGTTTTCATTCTGGAAATGCTATGAATATAATTTGGTCCAATCTCAAACAAGTGAAAGGGGTGCTGAAGACCCTAAATGTCTAAAAATTTGGTGATATTCATTGTAGAGTTGATGTTGCTTGTGCTCAGCTTAGTGCTGTTCTAGTTCAAATTTCTGGAGATGAGGCTAACACTGACCTCTATGATAAAGAAATGGAAGCTATTGCTAATGTTAAGCATTGGCTAAGGATTCAAGAGAGCATTTACAAACAGAAATCCAGGATTGACTGGATGCAGCTTGGTGATGGTAATAACCATTACTTATTTTCTGTGATGAAGCATAGACAAAGAAGGAACATGATTGACACTTTGTATAATGACCATGATCTGCTTCTTAATGTCCCTGCTGATATTGAAGAGGAACTCACAAGCTTTTATAAGAAGCTCCTTGGTTCTAAAGCTACCTCCCTCCCCCATGTTGATCTTTGTACCATGAGGAAAGGTAGGCAATTATCTAGAGGAGCTCAGGACATTCTCACTAGCCCTGTCACTGTTGATGAGATTGATTTGGCTCTCAAAGGTATTGATAGCTCAAAGGCCCCTGGTATTGATGGTTTGAATTCTTTCTTTTTCAAGGAAACTTGGAATATTGTTAAGGCAGATGTTTATGCTAGGGTGTTAGAGTTCTTTAGAACTGGCAAAATGTTGAAAATGTGGAACTGTACCACTATTACTTTGGTACCTAAAGTTCAAAATCCTTCTTATGCCAAGGATTACAGACCTATTGCCTGCTGTACAGTCCTCTATAAGCTTGTTTCTAAAATCTTAACTGCTAGACTTGCTCTAGTTCTCTGTGAGATCATTGATGAGGCTCAGGCTGGCTTTATTTCTAGAAAGCACATATGAGACAATGTCCTCCTTGCAACAGAGTTGATCAAGGGCTATGGTCATAAGTATATCACTCCTAGGTGTATGCTGAAAATTGATTTAAAAAAAGCTTATGACTCAGTTGAGTGGAGCTTCTTAGAAATTGTTATGGTTGAGCTTAATTTTCCTGCTAAATTTATTGCTTGGATCATGGAGTATAAGTACTGTCTCTTTCTTAATCATGATCAATGGTGCTCCTGTTAAGCCTTTCTTAGCAAGGAAAGGGCTTAGGCAAGGAGATCCAATGTCCCCTTCCTGTTTGCAATTGGCATGGAGTACTTATCTAGATGCTTGTTTGAGTTACATCAGAACCCTGATTTTAATTATCACCCTAGATGTGAGAAAATGAAATTGACTCATCTTATGTTTGCTGATGATCTTCTGATGTTTTCTAGGGTAGATGTTGGGTCTGTTTCTCTTCTTTTCTTGGCTTTCACAAAGTTCTCTGAAGCATCAGAGCTTTCTGCTAATCTGGACAAGAGTGAAGTCTATTTTGGGGGGCTTTCTTATCCTAAGCAAGAAGAACTTAGGGCCTTAATTGGTGTTGCTTCTGGCTCTATTCCCTTCAAATATCTTGGTGTACCCTTCTCTTCCAAGAAATTAACTATTTCTCAATGTAAGCCTCTAGTTGATAAAGTAACTGCTAGAATCAATGGGTGGGTTGCAAGAAACCTTTCTTATGTTGGCAGAATGCAACTTGTTAAAAGTGTCTTGTTTGGTATCCAAACCTATTGGGCTCAAATTTTGTCCTTCCTAAGAAAATTATGAGAGAGATTGAGTCCAGATTTAGAGCCTTTTTGTGGACAGGGAAGGGTAACCCCTCAAAGAAATCCTTAGTTTCTTGGGCTCAAATTTGTTTCCCTAAGGTTAGTGGGGGGGTGGAACCTTATTTCTCTCCCTGGCTGGAACCTTGCTGTTGTCACAAAGCTTCTATGGGATCTTGCTCATAAAACTAACAGCCTATGGGTTAAATGGGTCCTTGTTTACTATTTCAAAGATAAACCTTGGTGGAACATGCCCTGCCTTAAGAGGTGTTCCAGGGTGCTCAGGAGAATTTTGAAATGTAGAACTGTTGTTGATGCTATTGGTAATTGGAGTACTGTGATGCAGGGGAACAAGGTTAAGATTCAGAAAATTTACCAAGCTATCACTGTTTCTGCTCATAAAGTGTGCTGGAGAAGGATAATCTGTAACAATTATGCTTCTCCAAAGAGCCTATTTATCACCTGGCTAGCATAGAATAGGCTTGTTACCAAAGATAGATTGCAAAAATGGAGCATCCAATTTGATCCTGTATGTTTCTTATGTACTCAGGCTTTGGAAACTACTCGGTACCTGTTTTTTTACTGTTCTTATAGTAAAAAAGTGTGGCTGCAAGTTCGCAGGCACTTTTGGATATTAGAGACCTATTAGCTGTCTTGACTACGAGCTGCAATGGATCTTGAAGATTTGCAGAAAGTCTAGAGCTAAAAATAGATTGATGGGAATGCGTTTTGCTGAAACTATATATCATGTATGGCTGCAGAGGAATGCTCTAATTTTTACAGGGCAGTTGAAGCCTGTTGAAGTTATTTTTAGGGACATTTTGTTTTCTGTAGCATGTAGATGCTCTGCTAGTGACAGGAAGCTGCTTATTATGTAATTCTTTTTATGTTTTGTTCATGTCTGGTGTCTCTGTAAGTACCTTTGTTCTATCTGTCTGGTTGCTCTCTTTTTTGGTGAACCCTTCCTAGAAGGTGGCACTAACTGCGGGTTGACCCTGGTCTGTTTTGGGAAAGAACCTCTCAGGAACCCTTCCTAGAAGGTGGCATGATGTTACCTTTCCTGTTATAGTTGGCTGTTTTAGCCTGTTTTGTGTAAGGGGCTGGTTTTGGACCTCTTGCTCTTGTGCTGTTTTGTTGGTTTCAGCTTAGCTCTTTGTAAGTTGTAATCTTTTCCCTTTGGTAATAAAATTCTTGATTTACCAAAAAAAAAAAAAAAAGAAAGAAAGTGTTCTATGGAAAGTTCGTTGTCGAACATTGATTATAGGTTATCAAGTTGAAAGATCTCAAGTCATGAAAATGAGTGGGAGCCATCACTTGGACAATAAATATTAAGTCACATATGATCCATAACACTCTCAAAATTTTATCATCTTATAATGAAATTGTTCGATAATGAAGATGCTAAGATTTGCAAAGTAATAGTAGCTAAACCTATGTAATAAGTGAACGACAACATTCACCAGATTGCATGAAAGAAATCAAGCATATTAAGTATGGGTATGATTTCTATAAATGTTTTGTGAAGAGTGTTACTCTTGAAACATTTGGGGAAAACCATTTATCATAAGATGAAACGTTGAAAAGTTTCATGGTGGAATAAAATTTTTACTAATAAAATTCCACAAACTATTTAATTTTGGTTTAGAATTAAATAATGAGTCCATTCGATTTTAAAGAATATTCAAAACAGGGTATCAAGACCATGTCTTGGATAAAGAAACACCTGTTAAGTGAACATTGAATATTTCAATCAAAAATTATCCCTAATCAAGTTCATTTAAATGATGGACAATTAATGACCACTTGAGATTAGTGTGTAGTATGATTTATAGCACCGTTTCTTGTGCTATGAGGACATGATAGTCATAAATCATTTGCATAGGTACTAGTTTGGAACTGTAATGGATCGACCTATGAGAGTACTTTAAGAGATTTAAAAATCGTCATAAGTATATTTCACATTATAGCTCGGAACCTTTTTTCTCGACCATGAGTATTGCAAGTTCTTTTGTTTGAGTACTAGTCGTTTTGATGTTGTCAAACGGCTGCCGTAAAGGGGGATTATAACGACAACACTCAGGCGACTAGGTCCTCTTAGTAAGAGAAGCTTATGGTACAAACGGGGAATGTCCCCTATTAACAATAAGGAATATGTCTTTGTTGTTTACAAGGCCTCTCGAAGAGCGAGACTGTGAAAATGCATGGCCATGCTCAGATGGATTTTAGAAATCATTTATTTATTGACAGTCAAACTCAGAAATCGAGAAACACTTCTGGACGTAATAAGGATGACGGAGAATCTTACCTTATAGTTCATGAAGAGACATTGAGTGACATAGGAAAAGGGCTATACACCATTTGCACACTTATCCGGAAGGACAAGTGGGAGATTGAAAGGAATGGTGTCCTTCCAACAAGTGTATTATTCCGATAGAGGGTTCAGAATTATTAGAAAGCTAATTCTTCAGTGAGGTCAAGTGATCGGAATGCCCAGGTGGAGGCCGCTTCCGATCAATAATATTAATGTGTAATTAATATTACAGCTTAATCTTGATTGAACCCTTCGGGTCACACCCAATCGAGTAACCAATCTAAGACGACGAATCAATCCGAAGGATTAGATGAGTCATTAGAGTATTACGAACAAAGACGTCGGATATCGAGCTTAAAGCGGGCGTCGAGACCGAGCGTCGTTAGTCAAGTCGAATTTAGAATTTGACGAGACGTGGAATCAAGCAAGCGACAAGTACGAGCCAAGCCGTAGCATCGCATTGGTCTAGCTATGCGAGTGCTAGGCTAGGCGAGGTGCCAAACCGCATGCGTGCTGGAGTGCCTGGCATTGCCTAGCACACGCACATCGCACAACACGAGCATCGCAAGATGCGTGCCATGTGTGTGTGTGATGTGGCCTTGTATGTGTGGCTAAGCGTGTTGGCTAGCATAGCAGCACTAGTCGCATCATCGCTAGCATCGCAGCATGCTGGGCATAGCCCAGCATATTGCAGCCTCTCGCATAGCAGCCACGCATTGCAACATACTTGCGTGCTAGGCATCGCACTGTGTTGTGGCTGGGCATGCTTGTGTGCTTAGCAGTGCTCTCGCATAGCAGCATCACGCACCCAATAGCAGCATGCTAGGCATAATGGGTTGTGCGTGTGTGCTAGCAAGCAGCAACAAGCACCATGCCACTCGCATAGCATCAGCACGCACCAAGCAGCAGCATGCGCTTGCTGGGTGGGTGGTGGCTGGCTGTGCGCATGTTGCGTGCTAGCTGTTGGGCTGCCCAGCCTTTGTGACAGGCGCTAGCTGGCAGCCTTGGCAGCCAAGGGAAGCTGCCAGCCAGCCAAGTGGCGTGGTGGTGCGGTTTTGTGTGGGGATCAATATTGAGGGTTTTGCTTGGGGAGCAAGGGGAGAAAGGTCCCCCCTTGTGGTCCTCACCTAACCCCTTGTTCACCTCTTGACACTTGTCATTTGTTGATTCACTTGCATTTCAATTTGATTTTTGAATGAAAAATAAATTGGGTAAAATGCATTTTACCAACTCTCCCACATGGATGGGAGATTGAAATTCAAGAGCTCCGTACCTTATAAATACCCATCATTTGGGATTGGGAAGGGACATTTGAGTTGAACTCAATGAGGCATCTCCCTTTAGGTGAGAAAACCTCTAAGTTCTTAATACTCTAGTCTTATCTTGGTCTAGCCTCGGCTAATTTCCGGGGTAGAGACCGTTCGGGTTGGGTCTCGAGGGTGGACTCCGTCGGAGGCTCTCGCGCTTGCGGAGCTAAGGCTTTGAAGTCCGAGTTCTATAAGAGCGAAGCACGCGTCAAGGGTAAGAATGCCATTTCCCTTTCTCTCTTTTATGTTGTTAATTATGTGATTAAATATTTAGTTGCTTTAATTAGTGAGCGGGTCTTGGGCGGGTTTCTCATCCGCGTAGCGTTGGACGCTACGAAACCCAACAACCATTTCATTCACATACAAGTAACTACTTTGTAGCTTTTATTAAATCATACATTAATTAAAGCAGGGCTTAAACAATAACTTAAATATGGAGAATTAAAATGTGATAACACTAGTAGAAAAATAGAAATGAGCACCGCCTATTTTTTTTGGCACCGGTTTTTAAAAACCGGTGCCAAAAAAAATAGGCGGGATTGAGGGAATTAAAAAAAAAACAAAAAAAAGAGGGAAAGGGTTTTTGCACCGGTTCAA